TTCTTATTCCCGCTTCCTTCCTTCCCTCGGCACTTTCCCCCCTCCACTACCCAGTATCCCTCTCCTCACCAATCCTCCAATAAGCTCCTACGCCCTATTTGATCCCAGGATCGGTCTCGAATTACGCAAACAACCCGTCACCTCCCTTAGCTTACCATCGGTTTTGTCTTCCGCCGGTGACTTCCCGCTCGATTTCCGGATCCCATCGTTTTTTTTTTTTTTTTTTTTTTCCTTCGACACTACGCTTTCGAACTTTTCCTTCTTCCCGCTTCCATTCCTCCATCGGCGCTTTTCCCTCTCCACTACCCCTCATCCCTTTCCTTACTAACCCGCCAATAGGCTCTTCACCTCCTTCGATCACAGGATCGGTTTCGGACGACATTTCGCAGGTGACTCGTTGCCTCCCCGACGTATGTCTGTTTTCTGCCTTACTATCTGGAGGCGGTTATCAAGAAAATCTGAGGCGCGTGCGCTCCACACAACCGTCCTCCCTTCTTAGCTCGAGAGCCCTACCTCATCAACGCTTCGGTTTCCGCGTTCTGACACCGGGACTACTCCTAGCAGCTTCTTTCCCAGCTTCTACCACTCCTGGCTTTATACTCCCTCTCCCTCTCATTCAAGCGTGTTAGTCGTGATCCCTCCTCTTGTCTTTAACAGCCGTCCGAACGGTCCGACTTCCTCCCTTTTGTGCCAATACAAGCCTCGCCTTCCGTCGTTCTTTCGAGCTCGTCCCCGACATGCCTACTTGCAGATCTCCCAAATTTGCGCTATGGCATCTTCCATTGTCCTAAAGGTATTCCCTTGCCACGACACCCAACACTTTTTTGTCGCCTAGTCCCAGTGGTACCGCTCCCGGCGTTGTGCTGCTTGGAGCAATTCGGCAGCCCTTCGCAGGTCCCCTTCATTCATTAGTCCGGCTCTAGGTAGGCCACCTCCCCTTTGAATACTTGCCTTGGGTCCCGAAACTCCGATCTTTCAGGGTCCGGCCAAGTTCGATGGTCGTGTATTTCTTCACGTCTCCTTTCCTCACGGCCCCAGAAGGACCAGGCTTTGTAGGACGCGACCGACGCAGTCGGACCGCTACCTGCTCTCAAATCCTGCCCCAAATTCCACTACTGTACTCAAAACTTTTTTTTCTTAAACCCGTGCAACCCCGCCTGAGGCTGAGCGTCGCCAGTCCTCACTGGCGATGTGCTTACTCACTGGTAGTTCACAGATGACCCCTGCTTGTGGTCATCACCTGCTCCTGCCCCGTGCAGTCTCCATACGAACATCACGACTCGCCGCAGGCCCCAAAAGTCGAGTTGCGCGGTACCTAAGTAATTCGACGATCTTCCGTGGTCAACCTGGAGCCTCTACAGGCTTGCCCCAAAGTATGACGGCAATCCTCGAATCCTGATCCGCGCAAGCCTGCTTGTTCGACCCGCCTCTCCGGTCCATCGAAGGGTTAGTGCGAAGATCTAGTCATCCAGAATCATTCAGAAGGCATACATTCATACGCATGCATACATAATTCCCAGTCAAAACAGCGAAAAGAAACAAAAAACATTGTTTATCTAAAAAAAAGAAAGGCCATCGGCCGGTAGGCGGCCGCCCGACAACCAGCCCACACGGTCGGTCTCACCGTCATCTTCTCTAGGTCTTTTCTTCTTCCTAGGGGTCTTCGGTAGGGAAGGCTTCCGAACCTTGTACCCCTTCCTCGGTGGGCGAGACGAGGCCCCTTGTCGGGAGGTCTCCCCCCTTTCATGAGTGATGGTCAATTCCGTGTCAAGTTCTTCCTTCTCTTTTCGTTTCGGCTCCACCCCAAGGGTCCCCCTTGATCGGAAGATCTTGAGACGAGCCCCTGCGATAGGGTCCCGAAGCCTACTCCCATCTAAGTCCGCGAGCATATAAGCCCCCCCATCCAGTCTCCTTAGGACCTTATACGGACCCATCTAACGGTTCGGCAATTTTCGGCTCCAGGTCTTTTCTAGTGACGAATCGTACATCAGTACTAGGTCGTTAATCCCTATCAGCGCCTTTCGGACCCGCATATTTTTGTCCCACCTTTCTTTCCCTTTCACCCTCTCTCTCTCGACGTTTTCACTGGCCGTAGTTACCCCGGTATCCAAGTTTTCGGCTATTTGCTGTATCCTTGCCTCCAACAGTTCACCCCTAGACATGTTGGCTTTCCACGAGACACTCGTCCAAGTGTCAATGTGGAATTCGATGGGTAGGGGACAATGCCTATCGAACCAAAGGGTGTAAGGAGGGTACCCCGTACTGGATTTGACCGTGATATTATCGGCCCAAACTGCGTACCGCAAATATCTCGGCCACTGTTCCGGGCGACCCTTGCACCATTTTGCTAGAGCGTCCACAAGTGTCTGGTGACCCCTCTCTACGGGTGCATTGCTTTGGGGGTGATAAGCGGTCGTATATGCCGCCCCGATCCCTGCCTTTTCCAATAATACTTAGACCTTTTGGCTCAAGAACTCTGCGCCCCTATCCATGACAATCCTCCCGACACACCCGTACCGCGCGATATATTCAAGGAAAAATTCACTCACCTCCTCCGCCGTTTTCGTCTTAATGGCCTTTGCTTCCACGAATCCGGTGAGGTCGTCCCGGGCGTTGATTATATACCGAAGCCCGCCGACCCCCTTTGGCATGGTCACTAAATCGACATGGACCTTCTCGCCCGGAACCGTGGGAAGCGATGGGACTAAGGGCTCTTTGTATCGCACCGTCACCCTCTTCTGGCAGGCTTCACACGTAGAGCAGTACCTTTCCACTTCCGTGTATTGTCCGTCCCACCAATAAAGCCTACGGACCTTGTCGAAAGTACCCTTCACCCCCCTGTGACCCCCAACAACCCCGTCGTGGAGTTCCTCTATGACTGCCCTTCTTTCCTTTGGATCGCACAGTACCCTCATGGGTATCGCAAACTTGGTGGGCCTTTTGAAGAGATTGCCTCCCCGCAGGCAATACCCCAGCGCCTCTTGCCGGATTCTTTCAGTCCCTGTTTCCCTACCGGCCAAGTACAGTCCTATGTCCTGGTACTTCCCGTCGTAGAGATTAGTGAGAAAGGTTCTCGGGGCCCCTTCCTCTTCCCGGCTGCTCCCCGCTATTTGTGCCTTATTAGTGTCGATTTTCATTACCTCCCTTTCGCCCATTGTCGCCGCTTCCTCCTTGAGCCTAGGTTGGTCCTCCTCACGAATGGGAAGCCGGGACAGCCCGTCCGCGACCTGGTTTTTGGCCCCCGATATCCTCTCGACCCTATAGTCGTAAAGCCTAATGTGTATCATTCATCGGACGATGGTTGGATCGGTAAGTGAAAATTCATTTTGAAGGACCGCTGCCACTGCAGTGGGGTCCACTTCTAGGAAAAATCGTCGCCCATGCAGGTAATGACGGAAGGCCTTCAGGCAATGTAGTACCCCTAATACTTCCTTCTTGAATTGGCTGTAATTCCGCTCGGCGGGGTTCAATGTCCGGCTCTCGAATCGCAACGGTCTCTCTTTTCCCTCTCCATCCTTTGGAGATAGGAGGCCTCCCACCGAATGAGGTCCAACGTCCGTGGATACTATGAACGGGCGACTCTCCTCGTCTTCGAAGAACGAAACTCCTAGGACCTCTCCACCTTCGCGGAACTCCTCCTTTAAGGCCTCCATGGCCGTGGTTTGTTCTTCCCCCCAAATCCATCCTTCCGATTTCCTCAGGAGTCTTCTAAGGGGTTCTGCTTTCTCTCCATAGGCTTTTATGAAGATTCTCCAGTTGCCCACAACCCCTAGAAACTGTCGGACCTCCGTTATGGATTGGAGCGGCGATGGCCAAGTCATCAACTTCCCTAATTTCTCGGGGTCGGGCCTCCGCCCCTCCTTATCGCAAATGAACCCTAATATCTTGATGGAGGATACGCCCCAACGACTCTTAGTTCCGCTCACCGTGASGTTGGCATCATCCAACTTCTCAAGGACGTTTCTGACGTCACTCATGTGGTCGGCCACAAACTTTCTCACTCCTGCAAAGACGTCCGTCTCATCCTGCTCGACCGACCCTTTTATCGGGAAGTCATCCAGGAAGACCTCTACCTTCTCCGGTATGAACTCCTTGAGGACCGTGATCATGGCCCTTTGGAACACGGCTACCCCGTTAGTCCACCCCATGGGTACCACCATCATTTGGACCAGCCCTAGAGGCGTATGCATGGCGGTCATATGCCTATCGCGGTAGTCCAAAGGGATCTCATCATACCCCGAAAAGAGATCACAGATCGAGTATATCGAACGACCTGCCGACCCGTCCGCGAGTAGATCTGCCTCTGGTATCGACCCCACATCCCTTATAGTGACCGCGTTGGTCCTTTGGAGGTTTTGTATCCACCTCAGTTTGTTGCTACCCCCWTTTCTAAAAAAGAACCACTTATTGGAGTATGCACTCTCACAAGGCTCCGCGASGAATATTCTGATYTTCTCCTTGATAAAAGCTACTATCTCCTCTTTCTCCTTTTGAGCGTACTTCCACTGAGGCCTATCCTTCCAGGGCACGTGTGGGACCGTGTGGATCCGAGCCGGCGTAGCATACCTTGGGTCGATTCTCCCTCTCTCCGAGTCATCAAAGACAATGGCCTTATCGCAKCCCCTTAAGGTCATGGCTATGAACTCTTTCTCTTCCTCCGTGAGATTCCCATCTCCTATATCCATTTTGGCCAATCTATCGGCCGTTATCCTTTGCCCTTCTGTTTCTTTCCTCTTYCGGATGAGATCGACYATCTCTTCTTCCGATATTGTAGCTTCCCCCGTTCTATCCCGGCTGACCACGGCAGGTTTCACTTTCTCTGCCACGGTTTTATATTTCTTGACTCCGCCGGCTAGTGGGATCCCTCCAAAAAASACATGCCCACACATCCACCGAATTCTTCCTCCTCGTCCTCCTTCTCGTACCCTACACCGTTGATCACAATTCTATCCCCCACATCCTCGACCTCCAATTGGTCTCCCTTGGGTCCCCTATCCATCAAGGGCACCTCTTCCAGACGGACAYGACATACCCTTCGAYTGACTCCTCTTGCGCCTAGCAATGCTGGTCCGGTTACRTTYATCCTGCGCGTCCACGGTCTTTAGGACCACTCAGATTCCATCAGGACTTTGGATTGATAGGGTCTGACTTCCATCCGRCAAATCAACCGTGGTCGCGTGTACGGCGCTCAGCCATGTCCTTCCGAGAATCGATTCGGAGGAGCACTCTTTTACCGAGAAGATCGGTACCGTGGCCTCTACGCCAGCGACTTCAATCACGGGGTTATAACACACCCCCTCCGCCGGTTGCAACTTGTTGTCAGCCACTACCATWGATATCGMTACCCCTCGATCTATCTCCAGACCCAGCTCCCGTGCGATGGAGTCCCACACCGTAGACTCGGACCCATTGTCCACGAAAGCCCTCATTTTCCTTCCACTTATCACTGCCTAGAGCTGGCCACTACCTAACACATAGAATTGCTTGGCCTCCTCCCTTAAGAAGAAGTTGGCCGGTAGCTCCTCCATGGTAATGCGAGAGGCCTGTACTTCTTCCTTGGAGGGACCTTCCACTGGCACCGTGGGCCCTACYGCGAGCGGGACTCTTACCTTCGTTGTGATGCTTAGGAGCTCTTCTCTGACATTTTTGCTGGCGGCCTGGTATTCCAAAAGTTTGCACTGCATAGGTTGCATCAGAGTCCTCCTAAGGGAGGCTACCGTGTCTATCTCATCCATAGTGCACTTCATTTCGAACTTTTTGGGGCCTCTCTTTTTAGGAGATTTGGSTGAGGTTGACTCCTCCTTCTTTTCCTCCACCGCCTTTGCATCGGCCATTGGTTAGTCATTGTCGCCGCTCCTTACTTCCGTACCTTCCGTCACACTCGCTTGGCCCTCGGACGTCTCGGTCCCTACCTGCGTTCTCACCCTTAGGCCTCTCCTCCTCGGGCTGGGTTTCTATGAACTTAATGCTTGACACCTGAGGTTCCCTAATGGACAACCCTCCCGGTGACTCCACCATTTGGATGTGAGTAGTGTTGGAGGAGCTTCCGACTTTCGGTTTCTTCCCCAGTCTAGCCTCCTGAAGGGCCACCCTTTTGTCCACGTTCACCTTCATTGATGGGTAAAAGGAGACCGCCTCTCCGCTATCTCCCCACACAACCCATTTGTTCTCATTTAGCTTGACCACCCCCAACCTTAAAGCCTCCGTGAGATAAGGGCAGTCCCTTTTGATGTGATTCTCTTCATTGCAGTAGACACACCCGCTTCGGGCTTGTGGATGGTTGGGGCGCGGACCCCCTTGTGTGGTCGCCGCTATAGGCACAGGTGGAGCCGGTGGTGGTGGCGCCGACGGTGGTGGCGCCCTAACCTCCGGTCGCGACCCTGAAGCACTTGCTTGAGGGGTGTCTCCCCACCTCCATCCCTAGCATCCTTCCAATGGGAATTCCCCCAATCAGAACCACGACTCCCCCCTATCTCTCGGTCATTCCTCCAACCTCCTTGGCCACCTGATCCGTTCCTCCATCCGGTCGGCCGTTCTCCCCACCGGGGAGCCGGTGGACCAGGGGGCGGTCTATCGCTCCCCCTTGGACCTTCGTTCCGTGTCCCTCGCATGTTACGGAGAGCCATGTCCAAGGTCTCTTTCATGTATTCCCTCACGTCTACTCCTCCCCTTGTGAAAACCACCTCGGCGACTTTCTCGAAATTGGCGGAATCCCTTGGGGCCTTCTCAAGGACCTCTTTCCTCTTTTCCTCGGGCAGGTGCAACATGAACATTACGCACCTATCTACTTTGGACAGCATACCCCTATCCACTAGGGCTTGGGACAGACGCTTGAACCTACAAGTGAAGGCTACCAAGCTCTCCCGTTCCCCCCTTGTAATTCGTCGCAAACCCTCCACGGTCGAAATTAGGTCATCACAGGCGAAAGTCTGCAATAGGCTTGCCCTGAAGGTCCTCCATCGTCCGTCCGAAGGGTAGATAGCTCGGATTGCGGTGTCTAACTCGGGGTCCGAGTGCTGGATGAAATAGTCGATCCACTTCCTCTCGGAGAATCTCTTGCGGTAAGCGTAACTTTCGCACTTCTCCACGAATCCAGTCACATCTCGCCCGTCGAAGAAAAGTGCCTCCAGACCCAGGTTGACGTTATAGTAAGGGACTCGTCGGTCATCGTATCGGCAAAAACAGGGACCCTCCATTAGCCCATCGATTGCCGGGTCGTACGACTTGTACCACGAGGGATCCGGCTCCTCTACTCGGCCCCGAGGTCTCGGCGATTCCCAGGGGTCTTCCCCGTAGCGGCCCCACTTTTCCGGCCAGTCCGTCTCCCACCGAGCGTGGCCCGGCCCCCTTAAGCTTCTCCAGGCCTCCACCCCCTGACTCCTGCCCGTCATCTCGCCGGGAGCCCATGCAGCATCTGCTTCTTTCACGGCCCATCTCCGTGGCCTACTGCCAGCCTCCGCCGGCCTTTCGTCTCTAAGACCCCTTCTAATCGGTCCCCCTTCCTCTTCTCTCCGGGGTGGTCGGTACCCCCCATATCTCGTGGAACTTCTAGGGCTTCTCCCATTCTTGCGTCCGGTAAATCCCCCCACCGAGATTCTATAGGAAGGCCCCTCGAGCCCTCGATCGCCCCCTCCCGTGCAGGCATTCGCGTTTCTGTGCCAGTTCTCGGTCCCACTAAGGCCTGTCTTTCCCCGGTGACGGCCTCCGAAACCCTTTCGACCCATCTCCGCGGCCGGCCGCCGGCCTCCGCTGACCTCCCCTCTCTCAAGTCCCTCCTGTCCTGACACTCTTCTTCCTCTCCCCTAAGTGGTCGATACACTTGTCAATCTCTAGGAAATTCCCGTGCTTCCTCTAACCTTGCTTCCGCATCCATTAGGTCGGCCCACCAGGACTCCACCGGAACGCCTCTCGCGGCTTCGGCTACCCCTTCGTTTATCGGCACTCGTGGCCCCACATCATTGTGCACTCGCATTTCCGGGCCAGCCCTTTGCCCCTCCGAGGCTTGTTTTTCCCCCGGAGCCATTTCCGGCCCCCCTTCGGCCCTATCTAGCGCCCCCGCCCCCTCTGTAATTTCTTCCACTACTCGACTTAGACTGGCCCCCAACTCGGGGCTCTTCACTATCCCCCTTCTTTCAGTGGTTTTCGGCGGACTAGGGAGACCAGCCCCCACTTCACTCTCCATGCACCCTTATTGGCAATTTCTAGTCGCTTCCCTCCCTATCGTCCGTGTTACTTCCCGGCTCGTCCTCCTCACTATTGTCCCCGTCACCTTCCGAGTCCTTCTCCTCCTCCGGTTCCCCCTTCTCCTCACTAGAATTCTCGTCAGCACCTTCTCCCTCTGACTCCTCGCTGGTCACCGTCCACCAAGAGTCCCTCAGTTTCTTCTCCTCACAGGCGGTCAACGCAAGATTCACGATCTCCAGGTCCGAGATGCCTCTAACCCCTTCTTGCGCACACCTCCTAATCAAATCCCATTCCACATCGCCAGCTTGTC